GATATTTTAATGTTTTTTCTTTAATTTATTTTTCCTTCTTCTGTCCAATGTTCTCATCAACATGTTGTCAGCCTTAAAGAAGTCCTGTCAACATGTCCAGTGTTATTATTTCTTTTAGTTTTGGAAACTCTTTCACTATAAATTAGCAAAAAGTAAAATAATTTGCAACTTCGTTTACAGCAAATAAGTGAATTCTGTAGACATAATTGTGTTTCCCTGGCAACAGACTTGTGTTTCATTGTGTATGGTCATGTTTTACCCCATGTACCACACGATTCTTTGACTGTGACTAGGTATGGAGGTGTTAGCCAAAAGCAATTTCTACAAAGTAATTGAGGCAGCACAGCCACATATATAGAGTGTTCTAGATGGCATGTGCAAAACTACAAAAACAAAGATGAAAAGGAAGCCTCATACTGAATTGGGAAGCTGGAAAAGAGCTGTAACATCAAACCGATGTTGGCTAATCAGAGGTTTCTATAKCCAGYGTTCCACATTTGTAATTATTGACTTCCTGGAATTCTTTACTATGGATTTTATATATGAGAGGGAAGAGTGATGTTTGTGATCAGGACCTGTGGCAGGGAACAGCAAAAGCAGCAGAGGTCTATTTGGCTCCATACTATTTCAAAAATCAAGTGACGAGGGAATGCAGGTAGAGCTGAACTGGCAAGAGCAAGACTACTCATATGGCCTGTCATTCAGGATTGTGTTCTGGTTTTTACAGGCCCAATGGTTCAGCRGAACCAAGATCATCAKCTTTAAYCACTGCGACAGCAGGAACAACTGAAACTAGAACATCACAAACAACTACTGCTACAACAGGTATTTGATTTCCCGTTTAGGATATGCTTTGTGTGGACATAAGTTGCTCTCATGGTGACAACCTCAAGGCAAACAGAAAGACACTGGACAAAGCATTCATCGAAAAATTAAAGGAGTTCAATTTAACAACTTTTCACCATAGACAGCAGCAAAAAAATCTTTTTTCAAAGAAATATAGAAAATTTTGAATTTTTCTTGACAGAAATTTATYAAAGAAATCTTTCGCTCAGTGCTGCAGTGAAAATATATTTTGTGGCCTATTTTAGCTCTATTAGTCAAGTCTGTTAATCATTTATCGTGACAGAAATGACAAAAGTGCCATACTCTGYACAGTTGTTGATAATAGTGTCGGTAACAATATTAGAAGGGTTGCCCATCAAAAGACTCCGATATCCCGAATTAGGGGAGATTCAATTTTCTCAAAAATCCCGTTTCGGTCTCCCTGTAGTACATATATTTCTAGTTCTTTATAAAATCTAATTTCTATTATAATATATGTAAATCACTGTAAATAATTGTTATTATCTGTGAGACCTAACATTTGTCGTAAAAAACACTTAGCATAAACTAGAAAAAACGAGATTTGTAAGAAATACAGAAAATAACTGGTGTCCAGTCCCTTGCGTCCGAGTGCAAATTCAAAATGGCGGCGTCATTTCACCTGGGCAAATAAAGAATATGCAAACTTGCACTATCACGAAAAATTGTGTCTTGAACATCTAGTGTGAAAAGACAAGATATGATATCTCAGTAACTTCCTGATTTTGAAGTTAATTAATCTTGTAAGAAGAACCTAAACTCCCGYCCAAAAAGGATTTCAATTAAGTAATGAGATATTAGTCCTTAAGCCCTGGTTTTATTCAAAAGTTGAGACCATTTTAGATGAAATGGGCATCTTACTGTTYAAGTTAAATACAAATTATACATCCTTCAGAAAATTTACGGAGATTAAAAGTGTTGCTGTTCAATTTTTCTTTTGTTATCWCTGTTACGATCGAGTGAACGACAGTGAGAAAACCCAACAGAGCTCGTGCCATAGTCACGTGAAATCCAATAATACACTAATATACTAGAACTTTAGATTTAAAACATAATTTATAATTATTATTATTTCAGAAACGAAGCACATAGTTGTGAAAATGAAGCAAAATACGAACTGATTTGTTGTAATATTGAGTATAAATGCAGTAACATGTGATGTGTCCGGACGGGAGCGAAGGTTGCTAGAACTACGCCCCCAATTTCAAAAATCTGCTTGTTTACCAAAGTTTGAGCAATTTTATTACATTAAAGTGCAACAAAACATGCTTGAAATCAAGAAAGTTTTCAATTTTTCGAAATGAAATGTGTCAARTACAGCAAAAATCTTAACAACAAAGCAAATTATTGGAAAACGTGATCGATCAACGAAGGCATGCGGCGTTGGTTTRGATGTAACTTTACTTATACGCAGTGATTTTTCACATATACAARCACTTTCATAACTTATTCAACTTTTAAAACTTTGGATGATATAAAAACAAGAACTAAACATGAATAAACCTTACCTTTTACAATCAAAGACAGCCACATCTTGCATAAATCCAACCTTCGATGTGATTTCGATATCACCTGCGAGATATGTGAAATATATGTACCATGATGCATAGCGTGCTTGTCGAACGAGCCAGTCCTTCTCCACTAGATTAACACAGGTATACCARTATTGCGTAATAAGCTTGTTTCAATCGCATATAAAATTGTTTTCTTTGCATCAAAATAGTTTTATTGCTGCATAATGGAACATTTATTTAGATGCCGAGGTGAACAATCGTGTAAAGCAGTTCTCTTTGAAAATCAATTTCTTTTCTTATTTTTCAAAAGGATTCTTTCCCATACAAGGCATTTTGGATTGTCTCCATTTTAGAGATGGACATTATTGACTGTATAAACACAACCTTTCATGTTCCATTCRCCCATCCACACTCTCAACTTTACAGCATGACACATAAAATTGTAGCCACTGATAACATTATAATTTTCTTATTTATTCAACACCCTGGTTCCAGGGTAAATAGTTATAATAATCACTGAGCCTGAGGTGAATAATTGTTTTAGTATAATTTCATAAGTGAATATTCATAAAAATAGAGAAAAAAGAACTGCTGCATTTTCGTAAAATGTTATGAGGCGGGGATTGAAGATGGCGGTCGAGGGCCGTTCGGATTGACAGCAAAGTCGTCTTCTTATGTAATAATTGCCATCTTTCTTCCTTACAGTATGGACACACAAAAAACTTACAAAACTTACCTGTTAAAAGTTTTAATCCAATTTGTTTTAATCCAATTGTTTAATCCAACGACCATTTTGCGAAAAAATCCAATATTCACCTATAGGTGAACATCGCTCATTGAAGCGTCAAATTCGACCAATAAGCGCTATAGAATTATGATATTCACTTATGAAATTATACTAAAAGTCTTTGGTACATTGTACATGTATACCTGGAAGACCTGGAGGAGGAGACTGAAGACCTAAATTAACACATACAAAGACATGCCAAATAACAAAGTTTTATTTATTTACTAGACAGCTACTACAGATAAAGTCCCTCAGGAGTGCCTTCATTTTTTCTATACAACACATTTTCCTTTGATTTCTTGAAGTCTTCATTTGTAACTTTCATTCTTCTCTCTCTAAGAGCCATTAGACCAGCCTCAGTGCAGATAGCCTTSAAAGAAAGCACAAGAACAAGCAAGGTAAAATCATTGTGAACTTGTATTTATGGAGTACACCTGAAGGTGGGCCATACCTTTATATCAGCACCAGACAAATCGTCTTTTGACATGATGTATTCATCAATATTCACATCATCAGCGAGTGTCATACGGTTGGTGTGAATGTGAAATATTCTCCTTTTGGTCTTTTCATCAGGCAAAGGAAACTCAATTTTGCGATCAATGCGACCTGTTTACAGCAAAAAAATAATACTGATACTGTGTTGTACATTTTGTTATACAAGCCATCCTGTGGATTCTGTGCAGCCAAGACTAGCCTGCATAGCATCTCTAAGGGAGGGGGGAAGGGGAAAACGGAAGGGGAAAGGGGTCGGTAAAGGAGGGGGAAAAGAGCTTTTTCCCCAACCCCCTCCCCTTCCATTCTCACCCTTCTCYCCTCCCCTAGAGCCGCTATGCAGGCTAAGTCAATAGTACATAAATACATTAGTACATTTTCTGTTTGCAGACCTTTCAACCTCAAACAATTGCACAACATTTGTAAGACGATGAAAGTATTTGCTATTTGAACAGGATATAATACTGTACATGTAATGTCMGGAAAAATCTATGCCCCGATACAGAAAATGCTTTTCTATTTACTGTATATAGTGATAGTGACTTTCRTAAATAAAAGAAGGTTGTTTACCAGGTCGGATGAGAGCTGGATCCAATGTTTCAATGCGATTTGTTGCCATAACAACCTACAAGTAATGGATAATAACTCAAAAGTTGTTTTAAATGTATAGAACTGAACACAAAWCCATACAAAATGAACAGGGTATAATGGATAAAAATAATGTTTGTTGAATACATGTACAATTATTTCAACTGCACCATCCTCAGGAACCCACAGGTAATCTTCTGTTCGTTCCTCTTTTTTCTGGGAGTGAGGAACGAATGACTGAAGATTATCCCTGGGTTCCCGAGGATGCAACTGCAGAGATTTTGTTGACAATCAATTGTACCTTAACATCTCCTTTGGAATCAAAGCCATCCAACTGATTAAGAAGTTCCAACATAGTTCTCTGAATTTCTCTTTCACCACCAGAGTTAGATTCATATCTATATAATCCCAGACCAAAAAATATATATAATTGCTATAAATTGTAAAATTATTTTTCTATATGAATCTTTTTACAATTTTTTTTACCATGTACACATGATGAACATGAAGGATCAACCTGAAACCTCAGTGTATATACAGTACTGTAATTTTCTTGTAATATGCCATTAGCCATTTTTATGTTATGAAATGAATTGTAATTTCTGTCATATTGAGCCAATCGAAAAACTAACCATATCACTAAAAAGACTTTATCGACTTTAGTRTAGGTTCCAAGTTACAGATCATTTGGACAAATATTCAATTAATGAGAAGCCRTGCAATTTACAGAGAATGTATAGGGATTTTGACCGCATCCCCCAAAACAATACATTCTCTGTTAATTTGATGAAACTAGGAATAAATACTGTTCAGATAGTTTTTATCCAAACGTTTTGAAACTTGGTATATATACTAATTTTTGGGTGTCCTTTCATCTGGTGGGGTTTGTTTCGTGAATAGATCAATATTTCTTTGATTAGTGCCCAGTCCCCTGCGCAACGTCGAAATGGCCAATAACAATGTGTGTTACTGTACCTTTTAGTACCAATAGCATCTATTTCATCTATGAAGACTATCGATGGAGCATGCTCTTCAGCAACTCGGAACATTTCTCTTACAAGCTTTGGACCATCACCCTAAAAAACACTTTATTCATTAGTTGCAGTCCTGTTACTCCAATAATACATTATACACTTTGAGAATTGTAAACAAATGCAGTGTAAACCACTGTCAGTTTAACAGATTGCTGAATAAAATTTACATAAAGAATACTAATAAGGGTGACCTTTATCAGATATAAAGGTCCATGGCCCTAGCGAAGGTCTCAGGTTTGATACCTGATCATTGACMAATGCAGGATGTCAACCGATTGCAGCCACCAGTGCTTCTATTTTACTTGACAAGAGTGCTTTGTAGTGATTCAGGCATGATCATTATCAGGCATGATCAKGCATGATMATATCTTAAAACATATTTTTACAGCAATTTCTCCAARAATTTTAATGGATTTCAAATTAGTGTTGGTTTTGAAGCCCTTTAAAGCACTCTCTCATGTTTTAAACTATATAAAAAACATCAGAAATAGCCAATAAATTTGCACATAGATTGAGACCAAGCCCGCTTACATGTCCATGTACATGGGAATTTTGAGGATTGTCAATATGTATGACAGATAAACGAGGCTTACCAGATATTTTTGTATGAGTTCAGATCCCACAACTCTTAGAAAAGTGGCAGACGTCTGGTTAGCTACAGCTTTAGCAAGCAGTGTCTTGCCTGTTCCTGGCGGTCCATATAGAATGACTCCTTTTGGTGGTTTGATGCCCATTTCTTCATATAATTCTGGATGAGTCAATGGTAATTCTACTGATTCCTACCAAATATAATATAAAAATTAACATATCTGCCACTGTTAACTAGTTGTAATTTGCATGGTAAAAAAGAATAATTAATAAGAAAAAAAAACTTATAGTCCCAAGCTGATCAGAATAGCATAAAATTACAATATATTATCAAATTTATTAATAATTCATAAGGTAAACACAATGGAAAATCATTGCTGTGACTGCATCTTTATATGAGCAAGAGATTTGTCCTGATTTGCATACGACTTTAACTTCGATTTTCTCGCTTGCAGCTCGCAGTTATGTTGCTGGGTAGCTTTATAKTAAACAAACAGTACATGTATGTATCTCCAGCAAAAACTTTAATAAGAAAAACTAATGTGCCCACAAAATATCTATTCAGTTAATCATACCGCATATATCAAACTGTCAAAACAAACCTTTATTTCTTGTATCTGTGTGTCCAGACCACCAATATCTGCATAAGATTCTTGTGGTGCTTTCTCTAGTTTCATGACAGTAACCATGGGGTCTGCATCATCAGACAACACCCCAACAACAGCATGCACCTACCAATAACAAGAAGTTCATTAACTGTTACAGCAATACTGTAGGTAGCTGTGCCTTTGCATCGATGCAAGACAACTTCTGACATGCAGCAATAGAAAACTTCTTTCACACCTACAGACAATAGTCTCCTTCACGGTTACCTTCGCCATCTTGAAAGGTAGCCGTGCCTTTGCATCGAAGCGAGACAACCGTTGAGCGTGCAATGATAGACACCTGTGAATAATTGTCTGTAGGTGTGAAAGAAGGTTTCTATCATTGCACGCTCAACGGTTGTCTCGCTTCGATGCAAAGGTACGGCTACCTTTCAAGATGGCGCAGGTAAACGTGTAGGAGACTATTGTTCACAGGTATCTACATGTATCATTGCACACTCAATGGTTATCTCGCTTCGGTGCAAAGACATGGCTACCTTTCAAGATGGCGAAGGTAACCGTGAAGGAGACTATTATCACAACTATATATAATGTTTAAAGTCCCACAATGAGGACTGGATGGGATCTAAATCCATGCAAGTCCTATATATTTATTCAAGTTTGATTTCTTTTGCAGCTTTGAAGAAATGCTTCCAGCACCAGGGAGACTGGGATTTTTCCAATCTCCATTATGGATCTCCTCCCTTATCTAAGGATTTATCCAGTGTCGCTATTCACCCATTCATACAACCTTGCACTGAAGAAGATCCATGCTTGAATAGCAGATGCAAACAATGGAAATTGCTTGGTCAGGAGTTAAATGTTGTGGTACTTAAGCCAATGAATACCGATAGCTTCCATAGAACGTTTTTTAAGTACAAAAACATGGTGCATTGTGGTTTAGCTTAAGTACAATTAACACCATATTTGGCAGTATGAACAAAAGATATTTAACATTGACCACAATGCAATGCAAAGTGCTATCTCAGAAAAAGCCTATTGTGACATAGAATATGATGGAGTATTCTTCAGTATCTCACCTTGTGGTTTAATAAGACAGTGCAKCCAGGTTCAAGCTGGTCTTTATCCACAAAAGACAAGATACTGACATAGTGCTCAGACCCTACAGATGTTGATACAATAGCATGGTTGTCATCAATGATTTCCTCCAAATTTCCTACTGACATTGGTGTTCCTCTTAAATCATCCACTTTTGATCTCTCCTCCTATAGATACAAAATACAAATTAAAGGATTGTTTTATGGTTTTCATAATGCACTTGGCATGTACATTTGTGCAATAAAGCAAAGTATAAGAGGGTGATCATTGGTAGACTGGATGTATTTGATCTGTGAAACAAATAGTGCTCACTATTATTTCAGGTATACTACTAATAATACTATACAGTTTTTCGGTCATATACAGTTTAAAAGTACCTCATGTTTTTCTTCTTGTGGCTTCAATCTTTCCTGATTTTGAATGAATTCTTCTTCCATTAGAAGGTAATCTTTTATTCTTTCAAGTTTGAGCATCTTTAGCCTGCAGTTTCTGTGAGGAGTGACTAAACAGAAAATTTTGAAGGATTACAGTATCAATCAACTATTATTCCACAAATGTAGCATAAACAAAGACTAGTAATGGAATAACAAATATTAGTATAAACATACTAATACTGCACTGTGATTGGCTACTCTACTAATGGTCTAATTTGTGATAGACCACTCGCGGGAAAATCAAAATGGCGGCATCTCATTAATAAATCATTTTAAGGATATTTCAAATTGTTTTCATTATTTGACCGATTAGCATGTTTATACTAAAACAATTAGACTTCTCGGCCTTGTGGACTACGAGCTAATAGCCCATTCGGCCTCGCGTACTCGGCCTCATGGGCTATTAGCTCGTAGTCCACTCGACCTCGAAGTCTAATTGTTAACTATTAGAATTAATTTTTGCTCACCCTTTGGCAGTTTATTAGCAGCATCAGGTCCCTTGGCTTTCTTCTGCCTCTTTCCAACTCTGGTCGGAACTGGTGGCTCATATTTTTTCTTTTTATCCTGGTAAATTTGAACAAATTGACGGTGAGACTTAATTGGAACTTTCCAGTTGCAATTCAAAACCTTTTGTGTGTGTGTGTTCTTCTACAGGTAGTATCGTTGTGTACCGTGTAACCAAGTACGTCATACATTTCCGAACACACGAGTGGGACTTAGAAATATTTTGAGATTTTTGGTTATCCTCACTTAGAACAAAAATTGATCCCGCAGATAAGATTCGAACATGCGAACCCTAAATATGACCTATCCGATCATTAACCCTAAACCTAACTGGTTACGCCACGAGTGAATTTGCTTGGTTGCACTCCTTTTTTTCTAGTATTTAAACAATTTCTCATTAACATTTCACTAAATAATTAATATATAAGAACGAAGTGAACACGAATTATGGTCGGGATAATTTGCATACGGTAAATTTACATTACAATAAACTCCCCTGAGGTTTCCCATACACAACGATAATACCCTTCCACATGTAACAGTCTCAAATGTTTCTCACAGAAACATTTTCTCACCAAAAACTGTGTATGTTTATGACTGTCACAGAAAAGCCATAGAGAGCTGTATTGAATGAGATGAAAGGTTTTATGAATTATAGAGTCATTATATGAAGTTATAAGTTACTTGAWCTCAAAAACTGTGAAAAAAATATTTGACAAAAAGACACAAAAGAAAACAATGCAATTAGAGCGTACTCTAAAGGTGTGTTAATGTAAAATCTATTTCACAAGTTTTTACACTCTACAAGCTCAAAACTGATCAAGTTTATATAAACTACCAAGTTCATTTCTACATAAAAAAATTGGAAGGCTACAATCTTAGCTTGTTGTTAGATCCTGTAAGACTTAATTGTATTAATAATTTTACAAACCTTATCTCCCTTCTTGTCGCCACCACCTCCACCTGGTCCTGATTGATTTTGTCCCTGTTGAGGAACAAGAAATGAAAACCAATTATAAACAAAGTTATAAGAAAATTCGACAAAATCTTTAGTAAGTGCAGAAATGAAACGAGCARCATTATAAAAAGCTAGAACTCGTGCGTCATTTACATTGAAGAAATTGCAATTTTACCACACAAAAAAGTAAAATTCATAAGTTATATTAATTCCTACAAGGGTAGAGTGTTATTTTTAGTAACAAATAAGCACCAAAGTGCAAATTTCAGGAAGATTTCTTACCATTTCGTGCACTTATAATTTATTTTCTTTCAGACAACCGGCTTTGACATTCTTTGACATGCGCAAAACATTGCTGACTCACTTTGACCCAGTCCCTCGCGCATCACAGGCATCCCAAAGCGGGACCTAAAGCTCGAACTACAGCTCGCAACAGCTCAGCTTTTCAAGAACTGCTCATTTTTTTTAAATTTTTTGAATTTCGTGTAAAATGAAGGGTGTCTAAACAGTGCCTAGAGCGGCTTTTAGTTCGCACAAGCGTTTGKTATCTCTAAGTCAAATTAAAGTGCAGATTTTCACGGCAACGGTGAAACAGTTTTTCATTTGCAAATCACGAAAATGGACCATTTGAAATGAATGTTGCAATTTATTGACAAATACGTTTCCAGTACAATTCTATCTTATCAAAAGAAAACCATTCATGATAGTTCGAGCGCTAAATCCATGAAACAAGAACAATACAAAAGATTTCWGACGTCTAGACCATTTAGCGGGACAGCGGTAATTAGCACTGTAAGTTTCACGGATTTAGTGCGTCAAMTCCATATTACTTTATTTTAATTAAAATCCTCCTATAATAAATACCTATATTTCCAACTTTCTACAACAAAATATTTATTCCATAAAATTAGAGAAATGTTGGAAGTGATCGCACAGTTGTAAGGGTTTTACAAAACCTTCCTTTTGGCATCACATGCTAACTAAAAACATCAGAATTATTGGTTTGACCAATATGGTTGTTTGAGTGTCACGATGGCGATTAGTTCTCCCTAGTCTTCTTGTTGTTTCTGRATGAGTTAATCCATGCAATTATTATTAGTGAATATCAAATAAAGACCAACGTACATTCAAGAACCTTTGCACGACGCATTTGAGAAAATTAGCCACCTTCAGAAGTACATAACCAGAATGGTTATGTACTTCTGCCACCTTCGATTTTGAACCAAACATTTGTAAAGAGAAGAAATGATCGCAAAGGTTTTAGGRTGCACGTGTCTTTCAATAATTTGTGCTCATCTTTCGAATTTACGGTGGAATTACCTATACCAATTTTACCACAATTTATTCCGAAAAAGAATTCAAATTGCGAKTTTAGTGTGCAAAGGTCCCGTGTAGTACATCATGTACTTCTTGGCTGTGAACTTTYCCAATACCAACAGCTGGTGCAGCCAGAACCTTGCGCCCCACGTATCTCAGCTAAAACAACAAAACAACGTGTTAGCCATTGATAGATTCATGTCCACATCACCTGTCAACAATGAAAAACCCTGGTTTCCAGATGATGAGTTGAGGTTTTCCATCGTTTCTCATATTTTAGTTAGGACGTCAAACGCTGTTAAGTTTGAAACCGTAAGGCTTTGTTCATTTTCTTTCYTCAGTCATCCACAAGGAGACCATCTTACCTTCACACCCAGGACATTTTCAAACCTTGGAGACACAAAAGTCCATGCCCCCATATTTCTATGCTCCTCTTGGCTCCATATGAACTCTGTAAATTGTCCAATAAAGAGTTGTCATCAAT